TATCTACTGGATTATGAGTATTCTGGAAACAAAATCATTCTCCCCAGTTCCTATTGTTGATTTCAGCTCTTTGATAAAGCAGTCATTATGGTTTATCACAGGGATCTTCAGCTATGTCTAGTCAGGGTGTTCTCAGATGTATTGAATTAAAATTTAAGGCCCATAGACTATGTCTACACTGCAGGCTTCTTGGAGTTCTTTCTTCCATCATAAATCTGCAGAGATGGTCTGTTTTCAAATGGGTAGAACTCTTGCACAAAACAGTTCTTGTGTAAAAGGTCTTGCGCAAGAGCGCATCCACACTGCCATGTGCTTTTTCACAAGAGATGTGCTTTTGCGCAAGAGCGTCCATGGCAGTGTGGACTCTCTCTTACACAAGAAAGCTCTGATGGCCATTTTAGCCGTAGGGGTTTCTTGCACAAGAAACCCCTGTTGCCCGTCCATACTGCCTTCTTGTGCAAGAGCTCTTATTCCTCATTGGGAGAAAAATAACTCTTGTGCAAGAAGCCCTCTTTTCTGATGCTTTACTATAAATTTACTTGCACAAGAACACGCGTGCAATGTAAACCCTCTGCAAATTTTTGCGCAAGAACAATCGTTCTTGTGCAAAAAGCTTGCAGTGTAGACATAGACTTAGAGTTTCTAAGATAGGTATTCAATACAATGATGGTTATTCCTCTTGGATACAATTTTCAGAAGTGCCTGAGTGATTGACTCCTAAGTGCCTCAAAGACTTTGGAAAATTTATGAGCTTTGGAAAATTTTAGCCTTTAACTTCCCCAAAACTTAAGAGTGTTTGGATCTTGGCCTGTTTCTGGCCGGTTATAAGGCCATGGGCTAGCTTTGAAGTTAAATCCAGGTGAAACTTAACTATACACCAACAGATCTATACATTTGATATGGACTAGTTTATTGAACATAAAATACACCTGCTTTAACCCTCCAAACCCAGATATACCCATTTGAAACAGACCATCTATGCAGATTTATGATGGAAGAAAGAATAAAACAGTAAGAGTCTCTCTACATTACTATGACATAAAAAAATAATTAGTTTATCTCTAAGCACATTTAGGTTTCCAATACGGACAGCAGCCAGTCCTACCATAGTCAATATACCCTCTTTTTATTTAATTACATTGTCACAATATATTAAGTGGTCAATAAAGAAATACCACTGATGGATAAGTCATCTAAAGAGGAACTCTATAAGGCTAAAACATCAGACATGCAAAGAAGCTTTCCTCCTTTATATGCATATAGTGGCATAGGATCTGTGAATAAACCATTTACTCTGCAGTTTATTAGACAAATATCTCTTGAAAGTATACCCTAATATGTATGATTTCATGAGTTATGTTTTAGATTCCTTATTGAAATTTAGGTTGGCACTACTGTGCTGTGAAAAAGTGGTGGGAAATATGCCTCACATTTTTAGGTCCATAGATGGCAGAAAAAAATTAACTAGTCTGTTAAAAGATAAAGCTACTGCACAAGATACACTTCAAACCAAATGTGCACCGTACAAAGTCATCTGTCAAGTTAAAGATTTTGCTTTGTGATTACAGTGGACTTCGGTTTTTTTTCAAGGCATAGCATTTCATTAATTATTACTTCTTCCAGCTTGCTTATCTCTTTCGTTGAAGGTCATAAGAATTAGAAACACAGTAATTCCAAGACTTGGATAAGTATCCTGAGACTATAAACGATATGATGCTGTTTTATTAAGGATCACTACTCTAATCATCTTTAGTATGTCATCAAAAGGTTTCTTTGTTCATGGATTGTTTTGATAATCATTTAGAGTACTGTAGTCAATAAACCATGGTGTCTATCAAGCTGTAATTCCTTGACAATAGTGTAAAATTAGCTCTAATTACATGGTTCTAGTCTATATTTCCACTGTTATCTTTAGACTTTGACAACTGTGTAATCTGAACAGTATTGACTAGATCCTGTTGACATTTTTTTTCCCAAAGAAATGGTCTTTCATGGGGAAAATACCAAATTGTCAAAAAATGAACTTTTTGTGCAAAAATATCAGTTTCAACAAACTTTCACCTGAATGGCTTCTCAGATCCAGAGCAGAATTTGGATGCCGGTGAATGGAGATCCAACACAGAATAGCCAATACCTCAAATATCAGGACATCCAGCATGACTGTGGGAGATCTAGGTTTAGACCCTGCTCAAAATAAGGATGCACAGGAGAACCTGGGTCCCCCATGTTTTGACCGGAGTTTTATTGGGACTTTACTATAGGAAGACTTACCAATCTGACTGGAATGTTTCTAGATTTCCCCTCCCTATTTTTCAAACTAAGCAGAAATCAAGAGGTATATAGCAAATATCTCATATTAACTTAAGGTGCATAATCCTTTAATAGACTATGAATATGGCAGTCCTACTGATGATAACTTTGAATGCCCAGTGACAACTTCTGATCCAGCTAGCGGTTTTAACACCATACCCGTCCTTTGCGTGTTAATTAACCAAGTTCGGTTCATGTATTTTCCGATGGTGCTGAATCTATCTAATAGGCAAGTAGGGGAATTCAATTATTGTAAATCTACTAAAGTGGCTTCCTTTTTCTTGGTACTTCTTATGGATAAGACTACTGCTTATCAGCAACAAGTCTGAGATCTTGCAGAACTAGGGGTAGACAATCAACCTTTAAATTCATCTACCATTAGGCAGAAGTGTAGTTTGGATCCTCTTGGAATATTAAGATCCGCTTCTGGACTATTTGGTTCCGGAATGTCAGTTTGGAACAGAGCTGATCTCTGGAAAATTTGGAAATGCTTAAATTATGTATTACAAGATGAGGCTAACCAAATTTTGAACCCCATGTTACAAGGTATCAAGGGATTATCACAGGAGGAAGATTTTACCGTTTAAAATCTTCATGACATAGTGGGACTCTTTAATGAGATTCAATATAAAGTGGATGGCACGAGACAAATTGCTTGATCATTGTCTTCAGTCCACCCCCTCTGGGGCACCTGGTGCTGGCCACTGTAGGCAGACAGGCTACTGAGCTAGATGGACCTTTGGTCTGACCCAGTACTGCCATTCTTATGTTCTTATCCCTGTCTATTCAGGAAATCTGAACCCACTAGGTCATTACCCTTCTTATCTGCTGTCATAAACAATGTGACAGCACAGGTTCAGTGCAATCACTGCTGTTAAGTGATACTTAAAGGTGACCCCTTCTCCTCTGGTACCCACAACATGTCGAATTGGTTGATAGACAAAACCAGGATGAGGCTTACATCAGCAACACTTCAGCCTGCCCAGGGTATTGGGTTTGTTCCAGCAGAGCCACCTATAAAATCTATAAAAGCCAATCTATAAAATATTTCTCACCTCTTCAGAATTCCACCCGTAGGGTGCTCCACAATGGCCAATTCATGGTGAACTGCAGGATCTTAACCTAATCCTTAGTGTTTATCAAACCAAAGATTTAGGCTGTTTCTTGGACCCACTAGGTGTGCATAGTGACAGCTTGAATCATTCATCTCTGCCACCTGCTTGGCAACTAAATCTAGAATTTTAGTGTGTGTTATTATTGCTATGGGATCCTGGGGGCTATGACATGAGGTGCCTGAATGGTCATAGTCCCAGTCCATATCCGTTTATGCACTGGAATCCTCATCAGAGTCATCTGATGGAATTGCTATAGGGAGCCCTAAAGAACAGTTAGCGAAGCGCTCGGGCAAATTTCCCCTGCGTGGAACATTCTCCTCTGTACAATGGGGAGCTACATTTGGGTCTGGGGAGGATACACTTATATGCCATTGGGCTGGAGGCGTTCAAGGGAATCCACCAGCTCCCAGTGACCTGAGAACCCGGTGACCTATAAAACCTGACATACCTGGCATTGCAAGCCCTAGATAAAGAAATAGTGGAGGTATTTCAAGAACTTTTCAAGGTGGAAGGGGGAGGCCATAAAGGGTTAAATGCCCTATATGAAAGATACAAACAGCATTTACAGGTTGTCCGAGGAGGGCTAGCTCAGTGGTCTGAGCATTGGCCTACCAAACCCAGGGTTGTGAGTTCAATCCTTGTGGAGGCTATTTGGGGCAAAAATTTGTCAGGGATAGTACTTGGTCCTGCTGTGAAAGCCAGGAACTGGACTCAATGACCTTCAAGGTCCCTTCCAGCTCTAGGAGATAGGCAATTTCCTAAAATGTAACATCCTTTTGTATAAGGGAGTATAGTGAGTCACCTTGGCCTCCTACTGACCTGGAAGGGGAAACATCCTAAGACCAGCTGGTGGGTGATGCCAGAGCAATCCAGCCCCATCCACAGGAAGCAGAAAGGGGGGCTTAGGGCCCAGTGGCCAAGCCAGCCAGATGTTCCACCCGAGCTCCCCAGGAAGCAGGCCCAGCTTCCCCACCCAAGAAGGGAGAACCAGCCTGAGCCATCAGGGCCTCTACCAGGCCCAGGAGATTGGGTCAAGCCTCCTGGGCCACTGCCAGGCCAACAAGACCACCATGGCTGCCCCAGTTGTTGATGTGCCCCAAAGACTGGGCTGGATGGCCAGGGCCACTGCCAAACCCAGGAGATAAACATAGCAAAGTAAACATAGCAGTGGTGGCCCACCTGGGACTAATCCTGGTGGGCTGCCAATTTTTATTGCCCACCCCAATTTAGGAGGAGTTCTTAAACAGACAGTCTCTCTCATATACATATTAGTAAGTTATTACTGGAATATGTTCCAATATGTTCTTCAGGGCAGTTACAAACCAGTTCCACAGAGACAAAATGCTAGTAATGCCTCAACCAGGTGTCAGCCAGATCTTAGGAACCTTCACCTCCTCAGCAGGAGAGTGGGTGTGCAAAAAATCTGTATTTTGACCAAGAAGCAATTTAAGGTTCTCATCCACGCAGATGTTGTTTCCTGAGCATCAGCTGGAATTTATTCTTGTGCCAAAAAAAGGGCTACAAGAGAAGAAAACAAATTCCACAAATCACCTTCCTTCTTCTCTCTACCAACAGCTTCAACACCTGAAGAAGAAAGGAGGCAGCATTGGTCTGTGGGGAGATCCCAACTGAAGGATTCTGTCGGTAAACTTATGAGAGACCTTTGCTTTGAATTCATTAAGTTCTGTGTACACTGGCAATTGAACACAAAACATTTATCTTGCAGAGGTGTTAATCTCCACCCTTTCCCCTTCCCCCAAAAAAGACAAATATTTTGTTATGGCAAGTGCCCGCATGAACAATGCATTGTCAGCACAAGGCTCTCCTACAACAACATGAATGCCACTCTTCGGAGGTGGACGTATTTTGTCAGCAAAAGAACTGACAAACAGCAGCTATTCTGCCAGACTTTTAGCGGGACAGACGTGTCAACATGACCTTGTTGCTAAAAGCTGCATAATGAAGATATAGCCTTAATTTTTTAAGTTAGATATCTTAGGGATTTACCTTTTATTTTCTTGTAACTAATTCTGGCCAGTTTGCATCATTACTTGTAATCACTTAAAATCTCTCTTTCTATCATTAATACATGTGAGTTTTGTTGTAAACCAGCGAGTTTGGCTTGAAGTGTCTGAGAAACTTCATCTGGAATAATAGGATCTGCATATCATTTTCTATTAATGCAGTGATGGACTTTTAAACTTGTAGGCTACGTCTAGATTGACATGATTTTCCAGAAATGCTTTTAACGGAAAAGTTTTCTGTTAAAAGCATTTTCACAAAAGAGCGTCTAGATTGGCAGGATGCTTTTCTGCAAAAACACTTTTTGCAGAAAAGCATCCGTGGCCAATCTAGACGCGCTTTTCCGCAAAAAAGCCCCAATCACCATTTTCGCGATCGGGGCTTTTTTGCAGAAAAGAAATCTCTGCTGTCTACACTGGCCCTTTTGCGCAAAAGTCTTTCAGAAAAAGACTTTTGCCCGAACGGGAGCAGCATAGTTTTTCCACAAAAGCACTGACAATCTTACATGAGATTGTCAGTGCTTTTGCGGAAATTCAAGCGGCCAGTGTAGACAGCTGGCAAGTTTTTCCGCAAAAGCAGATGATTTTGCGGAAAAACTTGCCAGTCTAGACACAGCTGTATTGTACAGATGGGTAGTGGGCAGTAATAAAATGCACATTTCTGGGGGAAGTCTGGGACTGGGAATTTGCTAATGCTGCCCTGAAGTGTACTTCATGAATGACTGGCTATAGCACTCTGTGAACGGATCTCAAGGTGTGATCGCCCCCTTCTGGCTGGCAGAGGAGTTTGGCAGACCCCACCGTTTGGCTCTGTGACGTCGGTTGCCAGGTCAGGTCCCAGGCCAGGTGCGATCACCCCGCTACACCGAGTCCGGGGGATCCGCGAACCCTGCAGTCGCTCCCTCCTGCCAAGGAGGGTTCTAATTCCGAATTTCTAGCGTTCTAGTTCTGAATTGCTTGGGGAATTTGCTCTTGGGAGACCGGGGTGACACCGGTTCCTGAGGTGATGTGAGAGGAGGGGGACCCGGGCCCACCCTCTCCTCCGGGTCCCAACCCGGGGCCCTAAGTGCAGGGGTCTTCTAGCCCCCTGCACGGCAAACGGGGGATGTGTTCCCTCAACACGTCTGCCCACGGTCGCCAAAAGGGCCCCGCCCCGGGCTGCTTCCTCCCCTCTATGAGTCTCAGGACCCGGCCCAAAAGGTCTCCGGGGCCTACCGTGATTCTGGTGTTCGTCTCGGTGGATGTCTCTGCTTGGCGTCCAATTGCGGCTCCGGGGCCGGGAGGCCTCTGCAGGAGTCTTGGGCTTCCAGGAGTTGGTGGCCGGTGGCTGGCCACCCTTAGGCGTGGCGCCGACCCGACCACGAACCAGGGTGTTCCAAGGGTTGGCCTCAGGGGTTGCCCACTTGCTCGTTGCCGGCAGGTCCTTTTGAACTGGCCTGCCGGTTGTGACGTGCTTGCGGGGCCATGCCCCTCCCTGGACGTGGTGGGCTCGCCTGTCTCCCCCCGCCTGTCAATCAGGGTGTCCGCCCCCTGTGGACACACGCAGGGGGCAGAGCCAGCTTCTGCTGGACTGCGTAGGCGCACGGGAAGGCTCCGGCACCGCAGCCCGCTCCCCGCCAGACCGCGGCGTTCGGGCACCGCCACCAGGGCCGCAGTTGCCTCCCGCCCCACCCCGCACTCCACCGTGAGGGCCGCTTGCGGTCCATCACACACTCATATAATATAGTTGCAAGGGGGTTACGTGCTGAAGGTTGTGGGTGAGCAGCCCAAGAGTAGTTGTTCTCACAAACAACGTAAAAGGCACTCCACATTGAAGAATTGAGAGGACACAGCTCTCCATCAGTACAGACTACACTGTGGGTAATGTCCCAGATAAATAATAATAATACGACTTTCTATAGCACCTGTCTTGCATGGATCACCAAACACTTTATGAATGGTCAATAAGCCACATCTCACCCAGAGGCAAGTAAATGTTATTAGATATTTTCTACAGATGGGGAACACTAAAGCTCAGAGACGCTAAGGCCAACATTTTCAAGAGGGGCCTCTGATTTTGTGTGACTCATTTTTTGTGCCCTACTTAAGACACCTTAAAGGGGCTAAGTTTTGAGCAACACTTAGTTATCACAGCTCACGTTGATTTCAACAGGCTTTTCTAAAACTAACTTTGCAAGTCATACAGGGAATGTGTCTCTGCTTGCAGCCACATTTCCATAATGAGATACATTGACCTGAATTGCTCATTCTCTGCCGTCAAACACATCGGAGCTTACCACAGTTCCCACCCAGATCCTTTTGCATACATAAATGGTGATGGACTGCCACCACTATGCACTTACTCCACCTTCCTGCAGAACTTGTGGAGGTCACTCTATGGAGCCTAACTCCAAACTGAGGAGGGGCAAAATCTAAGTGGGGGGAGTCAAGGAATCAGTGGTCTTCCCCATGAAACTGCTATTTTTTCTGTGTCACACCCTCAGAGCAGGCACCACAATGAGACTCTTTTAGAAAGCTTTAAGAGAGTCTATATATCAGCCAAGCTGCCAGCGTAACACCAAGGGCCAGAGGCAATGCACGGGCAGGGAGCCACTGTGCAGATAGTATTGAACTCCTTTAGAACTCTAAAGATGTGCATAGATGCCAACAGGTCTGCTATGCTTGGGGGATGGTCCCAATGTCCTGTATTGCAGGGGAATCATAGAATCATAGAACTGGAAGAGACCTCAGAAGGTCATCTAGTCCAGCCCCCTGCTCTAGGCAGGACCAATTCCAACTAAATCAACCCAGCCAGAGCTTTGTCAAGCCGAGACTTAAACACCTCTAGGGATGGAGACTCCACTACTTCCCTAGGTAACCCATTCCAGTGCTTCACCACCCTCCTAGTGAAATAGTTTTTCCTAATATCCAACCTGGACCTCTCCCACCACAACTTGAGACCATTGCTCCTTGTTCTGCCATATGTCACTACTGAGAACAGCTTCTCTCCATCCTCTTTGGAACCTCCCTTCAGGAAGTTGAAGGCTGCTATCAAATCCCCCCTCACTCTTCGCTTCTGCAGACTAAACAGACCCAAGTCCCTCAGCCTCTCCTCATAAGTCATATGCTCCAACATATGTAAGTAGGGAGTAAGTAGGCCCTGTAGGCAGACACTGCAGAATTTTCCATGGAAGGAAATGATCCAAGTCCATATGTGGCAGTCCGTGTTATGAGATACTTAGCTTAAAGCTCTATCTTTTTGTTTTATATTTGTACAATGTTTAGCACAATGTTTGTCAGTAAGGAGTCTCTAAGACCTACTACAATAGAAATCATAAATAGTAATGATGAACCCCAACATATACACCAATCCATGTATACTTACATTGCTCATTCTCTCTGGTTTAAACATCTATGGCCTAAGTCCTGCTTAGAGTTACTAACATAGTTCAGAATAATTTTCCTCTGTATTCATTCAGCTCTAAAGGTTACTCGGGCTATATATCAGCCATCTGTTCAAGCACTAATGAGCCCTTAAACCCATCCCCTCCTGGGACTTCAGACTGCAAGGGAGTCCTCCATCATCTCCTCATGGTAGTGTCTACTTCCTCCCCCCTTCCCTATAGGCCTAGCTCCTCACCCCACCCTGCACACAAAGCTAAAGTCCTGCTTCCTGGTCTCCAGTGCTGAGAGGAGCTGAATCCTAGGCTGTCCTTTCAGTGCATTGAGGATGTTGCTCATAGTTACTCCTAAGTGTCATGCAGAAGAGTTCACAGATGTATGATCTTTGCATGGTTCTTACAAGTTCACTGCGTGGCCACAGCTGCTGTCACAGACATGTGCCATGTATATTTTCACTGAGTGACAGAACTATCTTGTTTCTGACTCTTGTTCCCAAGCCAGAAACAAGATGATTGGTTCTGGGAAGATGTTCTTTGAACAGTAGTAGGGCTTTCAGGAAGGGAGGCCTGGGGAGCGGGACACTGCAAGGAACTATCTTTCAGGATACCTGACTTGGGGATGACAGCTGCAGCAGTGGGGGAGAGTGGCCACTTTAATAACTCTCAGAGTTACCTAGGCCCTAGAGAGTGGGGCCCCAGAACGAAGGCAGAAAAACTACAGAGAGGATTCTGATAGAAGTGGATAAACTAGAAACAGTGCCCCTGCAGGGGGCATGGAAAACAACTGTGATTCTCTTGTACTTTGGAATTTGGAAAGGAAAATTTTATCACAAGATTTCTGTGGGCTATTGTACAGGAATAAAATTATTCCCAAAAGTGGAATTTTGAATGGCCACCAGAGAGGTTGTGTTCCACTTTACAGACAGGCATATCACCATTCCGTAGGAGAGTGATTGTGGTGGAGGCTGCCTGGCTCGAGGATGATTCAGATTTCAGTTTCTGTTTTGGCCCATCTGGAATTATTGCATTTGAGGTACCATAAAATCTCGAGTATAATGCGCACCTATGTATAATGCGCAGCTGCCTTTTAAACATCAGAATTCTTGAATAAACTAAACTCTTACCTATAATGTGCACCCCCATTATACTCAAAATTTTACAGTATCCTATTTGTCCCCATATTCCTCCTGCTAATTCTTTTAACACCATTTAAGCAACTCCAAAGCACAACAAATCTACAAAGTCAGATTAGGAAGCTCCTCACAACTCAAAGGCACAACTGAAAACACAAACTGAGCTCGTGCCTGCCGGAGAAGCCTCCCCCACCCAGCTGCCAGTGTGCTGAGCTCACCCCTGTCGGTCCCTCTCCTCCACCACCCCCCCAGCCAGCTCGTGCCTGCTGAGTGGGAGTTTAAAACTTTTAAAAAAAACCTCCTATAGATAATTCACACCCCGCATTTGATGCTTAAAAAAAAACGGAAAAAAAGTGCACATTATAGTCGAGATTTTACAGTATATTAGTTAGGTCACAATATGCCCCATGCCTATACTCACTCAATTTTCAGGTCTGGCTTATAATTTGTAGGGCACAAAGTTTCTGTAAGAGGATCTCAGGAACTGAATGACTCTGAGTTATTTTCTCTAGCTCTAGCTCCAACATGCCAGAGAGGCAATGAACTGAAGAGTATTTGTGGACTGGGGAAATACAAATGGCTTCTTGTTTTGTTTTTGCTGAGGAGTGGCCTTCTACGCAGCAATAGGCGTAATATGTAAAACTATACCAAGCATATCAAGGTGGGTGGTTTCATTACATTAATC